AACAAATTTCTTTCAGGTGACTTTAGCCTTAAAAACTGAAAATTACTCTAAAAGAAAGACAAGTAATGGCCAATGATAATGTAACATTGGTCCATGGACAGGTTCATAGTTGATGTAACGTTGGTCCATGTACAGGTTCATAGTAGTTGATGTAACATTGGTCCATGGACAGGTTCATAGTAGTTGATGTAATATTGGTCCATGGACAGGTTCATAGTAGTTGATGTAACATTGGTCCATGGACAGGTTCATAGTAGTTGGATGTGAAGAACAGGAAAGGGCTTATGAAAGCGTAGCTCGCTGTTGAGGAGGGGGGATAACCATGGAGGTGCTAACCTGTTAATTAAAGAGGCAGCAAGTTAGCTTAGAAGTTCCCTTACCGCTGATTCTGCGCACACACACATCAGTCACTGAAGCAACAAACTATAGATCACAGAGCAAAAATCGTAATTCTGTAATTAATTAACCGACTGATTTCATTCGTCTCAACTTGTTATATATGTTTACATGATTTTTATGGTGACAGAAACAATATGAAAGCATGACTCTGCTCCTCTTGCTTTGGCCACTTACGTTTCTTTTTTGTCTCTCATAAAAATAGTTCTTTTTTTTTGTATTTTCAAATCGTTGAAAACTTTTAGAAAATGAAATAAATTTTTATCTCATATCATTTTAACTAGTTCTACACACATGGTTAGCGTAAAATAAAAGTAGTTACCTTTTCACTTTAGGGCCCAGCATGGTCAGGTGGTTAGGGCGCTCGACTCACAGTCTGCGGGTCGCGGGTTCGAATCCCCGTCACACCAAACATTCTCACCCTTTCAGCCGTGGGGGCGTTATAATGTGACGGCCAATCCCACTATTCGTTGGTAAAAAGAGTAGCCCAAGAGTTGGCGGTGGGTGGTGATGACTAGCTGTCTTCCCTCTAGTCTTACACTGCTAAATTAGGGACAGCTAGCGCAGATAGCCCTCGTGTAGCTTTGCGCGAAATTCGTAACAAACCATTTCACCTTAGATTTTCATATTGAGGTAAAGGTGGTTGAATTTCTTCAATTTTAGTCAGCTGTTTCGGAAAAAGAAAATGTACCTTTGAAATAAGCAATTAAATCACATTATGATTTTACAGTTAGCAAAATGACGCTTTGAACTAAGGGTTATCTAAAACCTCTTCTTGTTTTAACAACAATCTTGGTTTGCTCTGTTTGAACAAGGTGCTTCTTCGTGTTGTAAATTATTATACTGTGTGGCCAAACATTGATCTTCTTTACTTTATACTACAGAAAGAGTTATCTGAACACAGGCATCCTCACGTGACTCTCATTCAAGAACACTCTCGAACGTGTGTTCAAATCACGCTACTGTCTCAATTTCCACTTTTCAGAAAATTGAGAACAATTCTTTGCCAGTGTATCTCCATCCAATAAAAGACTGTTGCAAGTTTGCACTCGACAGTTAAAGAACTATGAGACGTAATTCATGTCACTAGCTTATTAGTGTTAATTTCTGGCAATCCGTTCACTATACTAAGGGGACAATTGTTTAGTCTCAGGTGTTAATATAAGGCGGTTTGCAGTAGTGTTTCGAGATGTTGTTAACCTTGTGATTGTTTGTGGAATTTCGTGTAAAACTATTCGAGAGCTATCAACGATAGCTGTCCATAGCCAAAAATGCCCGTCATAATTTCTGATTTCTTTCGTAGGCTATTAGTTGTATTGCTGAATCCAAGTTACTGTAGGGACTAGAATGGACGTGACTTGGGGTAAGACTGCTGTATTGCTGAATTCCAAGTTACTGTAGGGACTGGAATGGACGTGACCTAGTGGTAAGACTGCTGTATTGCTGAATTCCAAGTTACTGTAGGGACTGGAATTGGACGTGACCTAGTGGTAAGACTGCTGTATTGCTGAACCCAAGTTACTGTAGGGACTGGAATGGACGTGACCTAGTGGTAAGACTGCTGGACTGTGAATCCTATGGTCCATGGTTCATGTTCCGTTGTAAAAAAAAACGCACTTCGTTCTTTGCAGCCGTGAATACTATAAAAGTAACTGTTAAATCCCATTATTCGGTGAGACAAGAGTTGGCAGTGAGTGGTGTTGACTGTCTGCTTTCTCAGATCATAATTAGGGACAGCTAATGCAGATAAGACTTATGTAGCTCTACTAAAAATTCTGAAACAAACTATAAGAACTGACGCCATACCATACTCATGCCGTTACACCACTAAGTCTACAAATCGCGAAAATGTAACAGTTGATACGTTTTTTGCCAGAGGCCAGCGCCACTGCTGATCAAGGAGTCAACACTGGGCGCTCGGCCGTTGATGCCTCACGCTGCTACAATCCTCTTTCCCTTTTACGTTGCCTATAAGCCTGTACTCGTTAAGTCTACTAGCTGTGCTTGTCCACTGAAACGTTCACTATTACCGCTAAACTGTATCTAATAGCCGGGTATTTTGGTTCGCCCACTTTTCATGCCAGTATAATGGCGTAATAACAGGGTGAAGTAAGGCTAAATTATGGTCACAATGAAAGAAGTTACACATTCAAATGAACGACTGTGTTTTTTCAACATGATATAGCTAGCAAGTATTTATGTATACCTCCAAGAAAGAAAAATAGAAGAAAAAGAGCGAAACATTTTCACAAAATAAACAAGTTACCTCCTATGTTAACTTTACAGCGATGCTTTAGTATAGAACATTAAGGTGTGGTGTGCGTGTAATAGAAGAAAAAGAGCGAAACATTTTCACAAAATAAACAAGTTACCTCCTATGTTAACTTTACAGCGATGCTTTAGTATAGAACATTAAGGTGTGGTGTGCGTGTATATCGTGTTAACAAAAAACAAACACACACACACACACACAAACAACCTTAGATAACACTGGTACTCACATGGTATACCCAGCAGTAGTAGATCATGTCAACAACTTATGCATTCACACACACACACACAAACAACCTTAGATCACACTGGAACTCTCATGGTATACCCAGCAGTAGTAGATCATGTCAACAACGCATGCATTCACACATACACACACAAACAACCTTAGATAACACTGGTACTCACATGGTATACCCAGCAGTAGTAGATCATGTCAACAACTCATGCATTCACACACACACACACAAACAACCTTAGATCACACTGGTAGTCACATGGTATACCCAGCAGTAGTAGATCATGTCAACAACTCATGCATTCACACACACATACAAACAACCTTAAATCACACTGATACTCACATGGTATACCCAGCAGTAGTAGATCATGTCAACAACTCATGCATTCACACACACACACACACAAACAACCTTAGATCACACTGGTGATCTGTGAAGGGTAGGGTCCGGAAACGGGACTCAGAGCCACACCCAGCTCAGACAGAGACCAACGGCCACCTGATGTGAAAGGTGGAACACTGTAGGACAGAAACCACCTGCGACTCCAAGGACACAGTAATCGTATCACACTCGAAATGTCTTAATATGGGGCCATAAGAAAGTCCCATATATACGGAGCCGAGCGACAGGTCCACGAGGATATAGTGTTGTGACCCAAAAAAGTCCTAAAGAGAAATGAACCACGTGTGTGGGGCCAGAGCCGCAGATAACACGCGGCCAACAGTGGAAGAGAAGAGGGAGAGGATGCCCCCAGAAAAACACACAGAGAATTGAGGTGAGGTATTAAAGTGTCAGAGGAAGACCAAGGCGAGAAAATGTGGCATAGGGAGGATGAACACGAAAATTGGGAACTGTCCCCCCAAAAAGGTAAAATTGAACCAACAACTGTTGGTGCAGAATTTGGGAGCTCACCCTAAAAGACGCAAGGATGGACCAGCCCAAAGCCCGTGGGGAACTAGGCATACCAATGCCATCACCCAACAGGGTAGCAAAGTACAGTGTAAATCTAAAAATAAGGGGACAGGGGAAAAACGAGGTCTAGAGGTATAAACAAGCAATAAGGAAGGATGTGGTTCAAAATAACTGTAGCAAGAGATAAAACATCACATAAGTGAGATATGATCTCCGCAAAATCGATGAGGGCTGAACAGAATCCCCAGAAAGTATGGGAAGGCATGGCAAACTCCGGGGGTGTGTGTGAAAGAAGATCAAAATTTCGTCAGCCTATGCCTGTTAAAGGCTCGACAAAACAGGAAGAAGTAGGGCACAAACAGGAAACAAGTGTGTTCCATATAATGCTCCATCTCCTCGTGAACAAAGGCCAAGTAGTCTCCCAACGGGTCGCCTGCTCCTGTGGCCAAAAGTGCAGTAACAGGCGAGTGATATGCACCCAAAGTGGTAACAGTGACTTCGGAATTCAGGCTAGATAGTAAACACGCGAAAGATGCACATCAAACACAAGTAAATCAAATGCTCTCAAATACAAGTGAAATGAAATTAAATGAAGTTGAACCACTTCTAGGGTAATCAGTGGTCTAAAGAAAGATGTCTGCACTCGAGCACTGCCAAATGAGAAGTGATGGTTCGGTAGTGGTGCACAGAGGGAGTCACATGCGTCACATGATTGTAGTACTCTCCTATTAGTGATGATTTGCATGAGAGACATGTTGGAACTTTGGATTCCAACAGAGGGATGTGGAAGACCTGTGGCATGCATTTTGAAAAATAGTTTGCATATAGAAGGCTGCACAAAACGGGAAAAGCTAATCTTGTGAGCTGAGGGAAGTATTGGATTATCCTTTTTTGACATTTAAACAGTAGTGCTGAGAAACACAATGAGATTTGTTTTACACAGAATGTTCAAGGAGAATAATGTGCAATGAAGATGTGTCACCCTCCTACTGGTCGAGGAATATACCCCAGTTCTGATTGGATCGTAGACTAGTGTAATTCATTGTATTATGTCTAGTGGTGAGAGTTGTTATCATAGCTTACATAATCCCACACATTTAAGAAAAGCATAAATTCAAAATGAAGTGTGGATTACTAGAGAGAAATAACATATGCCACGTCTACAGTCGTTTTATAGCAGTTTCATATTATAACTTTTTAATATATTACAAAAATCAAAGACACACTATCTCCAATATCTAATTCAATGTTATTTACATTTTAATATTTGCTCCACAGTGGCTCAGTAAGTCTGCAGACTCATGATGCTAAAAATTGGGTTTTGATGCCTGTGGTGGTCTGAGCACAAATAGCCCATTTTGTAATTTTGTGCATAACAGCAACCGAGCCATCTGAATATTTACCCTGTAAAAAGAAAATATATATGCCATTTACTGATTTTGCAAATCATGTATCAGTTATAAATGTTTGAGGTAATTGCACTATTTGAGAATAACATCTTTTGCATCAATACTCTTCTTCATATGAACTCCTTAATATCATTAGTTTGTAAATTTATCAGGATAAACACTTGCAATAACAGGAGTACCACATGTATTGATACTGATATTTTGTAATAAAAACAACTATAATGCCTCATGGAAGAAGTTATCTAACTGACCTGTATTCATTATTTATACCAAATCTTTCATATACCACACCTCCATGAAGTCTTTTTAAGTTGTTCAAAGTTGAAATCAACCATCAACTGTTGGTGAAATGATTATTTTACTAGATAAAAATACACCACCTATTACTCACAAACTGTATTATACTTCCACAATGCTGCTATCTAAAACAACTAATTATCAAGACTATTTTCTATCTTCTACAGTCTTGGGAAGAAAAGGTACATCCACTTTTGAGTAACATACTGTCACTCATTGGTCCTGTTGGCTTAAAAATTGATAAAATGGATGTGTTGGGTATTGAAGGAAAAAGTGAGTAGCAGTGACCATGCTGTACAAAACTACATCACATATTGTTCCTTCTGAAAGATGAAGCTATTAAAAATGACATTTTTTTTATTGTGCATACCACATAGTAACAACTACTTGAAACCATTGCCTACTAAAAATTGGTATGCTTTTGCCATTACTGTAAATTTAAAGAAATACAAACATCATATACTAAAATACTGGTTAGTTTGTTATTTTATTTATTTATTTATTTACTGTTGCTCTCATTAATAATATTGGTCATACCAATTAGTATATGAAATGAAATTATTTTTTATTTTCATTTGTCATGTATTATTATACTATTATTTTAAAGGTTGTTTTGTATTGTTAGCTTAAAATTTGTATCTAGGGCTAACCTAAATCTCCTAAGCTGACCAATCCTTATGAGATATTATTTGGATTATGGCTAAAAATATCAACAGTGATGGTCCCAAAGTGATGAAACAATGCATCCTAATCTTTACAGTTAGAAACATAAAAAAGTATACTGAATTACAATACTGATGACCAAGTTGATTTTTAGTTTCACTCTATGCACATAGCTTTCTCTGATCAGAAGCTATTATTATTATTGACCATAACTGCAAAAGAGTGAAAAAAGTGCAAATTGAATTCAAACATTGTAACATATCATATTTATTTGAACATCATACTTTAATAAAGGTATTTTCTGCTGTGCTAGTTTAACTGTTTTCCCATGTTTTCAGTGAATGAAATAAAAGAAAAATGCCTTTACTTAATTTCTGTAGTGCAGTAAATGACCTTATTTCACTAATTTTGTTATTTTTCTTCAATTGGGCACAAAACATTTCACTTTACACTTTCTTTTTCAGGAGCATTCCACTAAATCCAATTAAAATTTGTACTGGCAATTGCAGTTTTTGTTTTAGTGGCTCACTCTTGAAAAAGCTGTAAAGTGAAACATTGAGTGTTCAATTAAATAAAAATAACAAATTTGGGGTTATAAGGTCATTTATTATTAGTATGAAAAAACAAAAACAACCTTACCTGCAATGATTCTGGTATGGGAATATCACATGTCATGGGGACATTAACCTGTGTAAGAGTAACATCTGGATAATGATTCACTGGGAATCTCTTTCGAATTAGACGCAGTGCAGTATTTATGTTATTTTCTGTGCCTGAAACAGAAAAATCAAAGCTTAAAATTATTCATACTACACAGTGAAATATCTAGAGGAGTTGTCTGTTGACTCTAGCTGCAAGCATCCATATCTAGAAAATATCATCTTTATCATGAGAACTTAAATGTTATAAATATTTTCTTGATGTAGAAAAAAATACCTATTTATGACTAATGATACAAAAAATGGAGAGAGAGAAAAAACCCTTCAAGTTCATGAGGACACCAAAGTTTGAAAATATATTAATAATTAAAAATCTTTCACTCTCACATTATGGGGTTTTGTCCAGGATTTTGGAGAACGTTGGAAATTCTTATAAAATTTATTTTTTGTTAAATTTGAAAATTTACTTGGCAATTATAATTCAACTAAAATTATTTTTAGACACCATTCACACTTGGGCCACCCTCAAAACTGACATTTTTGAATATGAATAATTGAATTTGAATATTACTTTTCCCTCTCTCTCTCTATATATATATATTCAACAAAAAGTGTTGAAAATTGAATAACGTGTCAAGATGAATCAATAGTATATTCTCTGTCTAAGGAGTGAGTTTATAACTTATTCAACTTACCTCACGTGCTCAAGGATTTTATAATAAAACTTTACATTACCGTGTTAAATCATAAAACTAACATTTCTGATATTAAACTACATATTAAGAATTAATACTAAACAGAAAATGTTTTACTTAACAAAATTATACAGATAAGAAAAAATTAGAGCAGCATTTCTAGTAACATAATTTCATCAGACTTACTAGAAAGAAGATAAGCTGTTATGCAAATTGAAAAAGCTAATATTTCACATTGGATATTCTATTCTAACCACAAGATAAAACTTATAAATTATTATTTTTGTTTAAGTTTCTGCAAGTATCTCACCTTCAACAGCACAGAACTTGAAATTTGGATCCAGTGGATGTCTCTTAAAAGAAATATTTGTATTTGAACGGCGTTTGATACGATTGAAATGCTTCTTTTTATGACCAATCAGACGACTACAGAGATCCTGAGAAACTTCAAATTCGTACACAATGATAGCAGATTCCACTTGTGGAGATTCTGTTGGCTTGAAATCACTATCCACTGTACCTCTATCAGTTGATCCCTAGAGTTATAAATTAAATATGTAGAGTGTAACATTACTCATTAAGAAATGGCACCTTAAAGTATCTGGGATTATAATTAAAACGTACAACATAACATTACCTATTACAAGCCATGTACTTTTAAGAACTTATCAGGGTAAAATATAAAATACGTACAATCTAGCATTACCTATTACAAGTCATATATGTTGACATTCTGAGATATATTAAAGATTTTGAAGTTGTACATAAGACATATAATGGAACACTGCCTGTTACAAGCCAAGTGTGTTAAAGATCACTGGGATTATGGGTAAAACATACACTGTAACATTACATACAGGAAGTAACCTATGTAAAATATGCCTCGGATTATAAATTGTTTGATTGTTGGATTTTGCTTAAAGCTACACAAAGACTATCTGTGCTAGCCACCCATAATTATGAAGTGATAGACAAAAGAAGATACAACTACTCAACACCATCCACTGCCAACTTTTGTCTACTCTTGTTACACTGAATAGTGGGATTTGGCCAACACTCTTTTATTGCACCCCTGTCCCAATGTATTGTGGAGCATGATTTTTTTTTGCTGGTAATGGTATGCAAAATATTAATCCTCAGCTCTACAGTCTGGTATGTTAACCACTGGATACTGCTCAGACCTAGAGGTTATAAACATATCTTGTAATGCATAACACTATCAATTACAAATCATATAGGTTAAAGATTTTTGTAATTATAGATACAAAAGTGTAAAGTGTAACATTACCCGATAAAAATCACTAAAATTGTTGTAACTATACATAAAACATGTACAGTATGAAACTACCTAATAGAAGCCAGTATGGCAAAGTTCCTGGACTTATAAATATAACAGGTACTTTGTAAAATATGGTGAAGTTCCTGGACTTACAAACAAAACACCTACAGTGTAAAAGTGTAAATAAAATCCAATATGGTGAGGTTCCTGGACTTACAAATAAAATATATATGGTGTGGTAACACCTATAACAAGTCTGATATTCTAAATATCTCTGAGGTTATAAATAAAATGTATACAGTGTAACACTACCTACTACAAATTAAACATGTAAAAGATCTCTGGGATAATATATAATATACATACACTGTAAAATTGTCAATTATAAGTCATGCATTTTAAAATTCCCGAGTTTATAACTATAAAGTGTATTGTATAACACTACTTATTTTAAAGCAAAAATGACCTGGAATTGATGGTTTCAGTGACAAGTATTGCAATGCCTAATTCTGATTTGGATGATCTGGCCTTTGATTGCTGTTGAGATTTTGAGGGAGGCACAGCTTGGAGACTGGGGAACAGTCATAACTGAGCTACAATGACAGTTCAACCTGGTAGAAAACCAAGCCTTCCACCATGCTGAGTTTAAAGCTCACAGGAAGGGTACAGATGATCTTCATCATTTTTATGAGAAAGCTTACCCAGCAATTGTCAGCAAGTCATGAGGACAACTTCATTGATGACCAATCAATTGATATCATGAGGCATCACATAGGAGTATAATAAATTTGTATCTTCATGGATAAAATGGATGTTAAAGGACAGAATCATACAACCTTCTAATAGTGCGTGGTCATCACCAGTGGTGATTTTCAGGAAGAATTATTGTAATATTAATTGTTTGAGTTGTGAGTATTGCCATTCAACCTGTGTAATGTTCCTGACACTTTTGATAGACTAATTGAGCTTATGTTTAGAGGACTGCAACAGCAGAAAGTGTGCAGTTATGAGCCTGTTCATGGTTTTGCTGCAGATAAGTACATCAGTATTAAGGTTGAAATCAGTGAAGTGAGTGCTAACACATACACATCCAAAATTTTTTAGTAAATAAGGCATCTTGACTGACCTTGCAAATATTTTAGGGGTTGAAGACTGACCCCAACCTATGATGAGACAAGAAGATTTAAGTTCACTTGAGTTCATGTCATATTACTGAAGTTTTCTGGCCAAATGTTTCAAGATTGCTACACTAAAGTGGAAGCATGTGTCAAACTGAATAATGAATGTGATTGCACATTTCTGTCCTTGAAATATTGCTTTAGTGAAAGTGCTGTTGTTGGTGTACCTATGGAGTTCTTGTTGGAAAAACTGGCCTTGAGATGGTACAACTCCAGCAATGAATTGTTGGTTCTCCTGTCCGAATAACAGCAGGTGGATAAAATGCAACCTAACGTTACAGATGAACCACTTGTGGCCTGGCTTGACCAGGAATTAGAGTTCAAGGATGATGAGTCCAAGAAAGATGTGATTGCTATGGAACATCTCAGCACATATGATGAGGAGGAAGAAGATAATAGTACTTACCTGATTGTGTTTGAGGAGTCAGATGAGAAAGTACCTGAAGAGGTGCTGAAAAGTTCCATTGATTAGTTGTGATGCCAACAACAGCCTCCTGATTTTTATGGCTGGGACTAACTGTTAGATTACTGGTTAGGACAGTTGCTTGATTGAGAAACCAACAACCAAAAAGCATTACAACCCTTACTTTCCAAACAATTGAGTTATTTAGTCCATGAAAGGCATTGTTATGACAACCACTTGATAATCCCCAGCTATGACAGTTGTTGATCGAGAAACTGATAACTGAAAAGCCGTGCAACTGAGTGATTTTCCATTGTGAAACAGTAGTCCAATGTTTTATCAAAATGGCATTCCTTTATCAAAGTATTAGCAGTTCTACTGAACAGCTGAAGGGTTCTCAAGAGAAAAAAGACTATTGTGTATGACTCCTCTATGTACACTGAGAGAGTTATGTTCTCCACAGTTGCAGTAAGTGAATTGAGTGATCAAATTTTTGTAGAATACGGCTCATTTATCTGTTTAGTTGTGATGCCAAATTGTATGAGGCAATACAGTGTTCAGACAGACCATGGTTTGTGACCACTAAATTTAGTGTGCATCATTGTATTTAGCTGTAGTTGAATTGAAGGTGTTTCAATGTACAAGATAGCAACAGAATGAATATTAACTCTGGTCATGATAATTTCATCAGAATAGTCTAAATTAGTTTAATGCTTTCAGGAATTACTTATTTCCAAAGGCCTGTAAATCACTGTTGAGTTTCACCACTTACAGGTGGCTCACATTACCAGATCACAAAAACTACAGGTAATTAACAAAAGTAACCCAAGTAGGTTACTGTGGTAATGGCAAACATTCACCTGAGGCAATCTGTCATAAACTTTTAGTGTATGTAGCAATATGCGGAAGTTGGAAACATACGTGTATAATAGTATACATTTGAGATTATATGTGCGTAAAATTATATGGCAAAATTAGGGTAATAAATAACCTCATACCACACTTGCGGGAAAAGAAAAGGTAACATTCATAAAAAGTGTCACTAAACATACCAAATGTAAACTTGGTGTACCCAGTATTTCATTTGATTATGTAAAATGTTTTCTATCATGCAAATTGAAATATTTCCAAAGCATGGTTTTCTGAATATATTATTAACATATTTCAATATAAAGCCAGTTATAAAATGTAAACTGTGCATGAAACACTGAAGGCAAGAGGTAACACCCCCATGCAAGGCAAAACTATTATCCTCTGTGCTAAACTTTAGCTAAAGAAAGTCACAAAGGAAAATTAAATTAAAATGATAAGGAATTTCCATGATCAGAAGAATTAGTTCAATCCAATCAAAATTGGACACTATTATGGGTATCTGTTTTGCAGTCTCACTCCATTTCTGGACCTGGATTCTATATCTATAACAACCAATTGGTAGTGAAGGAATGTGCCAAGGCTACAGGACAGTTGTGAATCATTGTTTTAGCCAGATTATCTTGGAAAGCACAGTTGATGTTTGGGTAAAGCTCAATACTCAAGGATATGTGATTTGCCTCATTTGCAGATAGTAGGGATCATGTTCTACAGGCAGATTATGTGTGATCACACGTAAGCCTGTAAACACACAATTCACACACAGATTTTTTTTTGTATTATGACACTTTGATCCTGAAGGACTTTTCGTAACTTGGACTTTACAACTTTAATCCTCACACTTGATTTAATTTCTGACCAGCCAGAACTATTTTGAGCCTACATTTCCAATCCTTACTTTCCTATTTAAGATCAGTTTATTAATTATTCTGGTTCTCTTCATTTTTCAATCTACCAGTTGGAGTTATCTGTATTCTTTTTGTATTCTGACTACTTCAAGGAACTGATGGTAAGACATATCTTTAAAAACGTTTTGATGTTTTAAACTTTTGGCATTGCTGATCACAGAATCAAAAAACTGCCTGCCATCTCACAATTAGTGGTGCCATCCATTGAACCAGGAATTGTGCCAGCTATCCAGCCACCTGGTAATGAAGAGTGGATCAAGTCATTCTGGTTCAAGTTGAAGATGAGATAATTGAGCACTGGGAGGAGTACATGTCCCCCTTTAGAGGGTGTTTTGTGCAATGAAACAACTGTCATGGGATATGTTTCCACCTCCAGCAGGTCCATCAAGTTGTTCATCCTGGCAAGACATTCTTGGAACTTTGCATTGAAGAGATCCTCTAAGCAGGAAGGTTTCTATGCATTCATCTAACACCCCAGGGATGAGGACCTAAGTGGCAGCTGTCACTGTGGCAACACCAGCAGTGGTATCATCAGCTATAATGGCAATTTACATTATGAGCACCCAGGTATCAATATCTGCATCATCACTGGCAGTCCCTCCTATGACCTCAGAGATATGGATGGAAAAGGTAGTGTTCCCCACAACAAATTTCCTATCCAAGGTGAAAAAGAAGGTCTCCCTCCTGCGAAAGCAGTGATAAAATACCACTACCACAAGCAGACAGACAGAGGACTGGCATTATATAACCACAAGCAAGACCATCTTCTATGGTGCAGAAAACACCAATGTAGCTGGTGGATGAAGTGTGTTGTCTCCAAGAGCATTTGGTGCAAACTCAGTAGACTTTTGTCAGACCTGGAGAGATTATCTGTTAGACCACCACAGTGCTCCAGAAATCCATACCTGTATTGAAGGATTTACTGTTAAGGCTATTTTACATGAATAGTTCTAGCCTTCCTTCTAAAGTATATATATATAAGTATATATGTACTTGTATAGTATATTTCAGCATTCAGTTCACTTTTGTACAATGTATGTACGTTTGTGATCAAGGTTTGTTTGTACAATATATTTTTATCATTCTTAATATTACGGGTTTTGTTTTGTTTATATATAAATATTTTTTTATGACATTTAGGATTAAAGATTTTATGTGTATAGTGTACATAATTTTGTTTGTTTGTCAGATTTTACACAAAGCCACATGAGGGCTATCTGCAGTAGTTGTCCCTAACTTTAAAATGACAGACATCATCTACTTCAAACTCTTTGATTACTCTTTACCATTGAATAGTTGGATTGATCATCATATTAGAATGCCTCCACAGCTCCAAAGGCATGTTGTCAGGAGGTTATTTTAGTAGTATATATAGTAATGTAAGTATATGAGTGTGTTGGGCTAAGGATTCTTCTACAGTAGATGTATGTAACTTGTTGGCGATAAATTCAACAATAAACGAACAGCACACACTCCATTTGTTTTTAAAATAATATATATATATAATTCTTTATACTATGGAGATCACAGTTGTATCTTAAACACCATACAGTTCTCTTCTTCTTCTTAAAAGTCCACTTAGGCCTATTCAGTTGCTTTATAATTTAGTTGACATGCCAAACTATATTTTTATTATATATATATTAGTTGTATCTTAAACACTATACAGTTCTCTTCTTCTTGTCAAAAGTCCACTTAGGTCAATTCAATTGCTTTAGAATTCAGTTGACATGCCAAACTATTTTGCTCTATTTTATCCATATATAATTCACTTATGCTGTCATATGAGTTATCACACTTGTATCCTATACTTTAAATAATTGTTTGCTTCTTGTCAAAGTCCACACAGGTGGGTTCAATTAGTCTAGAACCCATTCTGATGAGACAAATTATTCTCCTTTATCTCTTTCAAACTGTTAATCTCACTCTAACATATCACCCATTAGGCCGTTCACTCCTGTGATGGATAACTTTATGTTTTCTGTCTTTTCTCTCCCTGAACTTCACTTTTCCATGACTACACTTTTTACTCCCTCTCTGTTTCCACTCATCTGGTCACAGCTATTTATACATCTGTCACTTAGACCTTGTAGAAATCTCTATAGCATTGACATTAATGGATTGCACACAATGTTCGATAGCATCAATATCAATGAATTAGAAACACAAAACTAATTAATTAATAATACTACCTACACCAACAGTCTATTATATTGGACACATGTTCAGTGATGGGATTTGAACCCTCAACTGACTGAATGCAAGTTGAGTGCCCTAATCACCAGGCCATGACAAGCCTTATGTATATAATTATATTTTCTCATGTTATACCAGCATCATTTATATATTGTACGTATATATTTTTAGTATCTAGATTATGGTTAGAGTAAAATCTAGGTTTAAAGTTTTTGTGTTTCCTACATTAAAATGTATTTTGGATGTGCTACATTAAATATTCCTTCCTAAGTGGGGTTAAGGGTTTATGTTGTTATTTTTTTTTGGTAGAGCATGATTTAAAGTCCCAATGTTCAGTGTTTCCTCCACTTGTATGTCATGTTACCTGGGTTAAAAGTTTTTATTTATTATTTTGATCAGGTGTTATAGATTGCTGTTCTCTTTTAAGGAGCTGAGGATCATTCTAAAATGGCTATTATGTATCTTCTGTGTTAAAGGCTATTTTCAGGTATTTCTTTCTTTCTTGTCATTTTTGTATTTTAATGCAAAGCTATGCAATGGGTAGTCTGTGCTTTTTCCACCATAGGGAATCAAACCTCAGATTTTAGAGTTGTAATTCGATAAACTTACTGCTGACTCACCTGTTGGTGATAAATTTCAACAATAAACAAACAGCACACAGTACACTTGTTTGAAAATAATTTATTAAAGCAAATCAAACATATATATAACTGTCTGTTACACAGTTAATTTACAACAGTTGCATCCAGAGCTTTAAATAATCATCTCTTTTCATCACAGTCCACAGAGGCTGGTTCAGTTATTTTAGAATACAATTGACATGACGAATTATTCTTCTCTTCTCTGTTATTACAATACAATTGGTGATAATTTTGCTTACATTGCAGCTTTGTATCCATAGCTTTAAATATTTGTTTCCTTTTGTCAAAAGTCCACACAGGTTTGTTCAGTTACTTCAGAACACAGTTGACAAGACAAATTATTCTTCTCTGTTCTGTTGTTAAAATACAGCTTGGGTTATCATTCTTGGGTTCTCCGATTTCTGTTGGGTGAGCTTGGTAATCTCAACTTGTGCTCTTATTCTCTCTATTTCCAGTCTCTGCTCTCTCTCTCTCTCTCCTTTTCTTCTTTCACAATTTGTGCTATTATTCTATCTATTTCCAGTGTCTACTTTCTCCACTTGTATTTCATACTCACTTTCTTTTTACAATCTTTCTTTCTCTCTTCTCTGCTTATGCTCTTCTCTCTCTAAGTCTTGTTGTTGTTTAAAAAACTCTTGTAGATCACCATCTTTAAACCCAAGTCACTTGCCTCTCTCTATCAACTTACCAAAGTCAGTCAACATAGTTATATAGTGTGGTTGTGACCTCTATAATATTTTTGCCATCACTACAACTGTGTGTAAATGGGCTTATCTGCTGTTTGTTTACATCTACTTCTACCACTGTTCACCAAGTAGGTCCAGGCTGGCTTGCCACTGTCAGGTTTTTTTATATGGATGGGCCAGATTCTTTACAGTATATATCTTGTTGGTGATAAATTTGAACAATGAACAAACAGCACACAATCCAACTGCTTTAAAATAATATATTAAAACAAATCAAACCTATATACAAATGTTTTTTGCACTGTTGGTTACCACAGTTGTATTCAGAGCTTTAAATAATTGTCTGTTTTTTGTCAAATTCAATACATTCTGGTTCACTTACTTTAGAACACAATTTGACAACATGAATTATTCTTCCTGCTCTGTTACTACAATACAGTCTGTGTTAAGTTCACTTTAAAATCATCACCATATCCAGTTGTATCCAGGGCTTTAAATAATTGTCTCTTTTTTTTGTCAAAGTCCACACAGACTAGTTCAGTTATTTTGGAACACAATTGAAAAGACAAATTATTTCTTTTCTGCTCTGTTATTACAATACAGTCTAGGATAATTTCACTTTAAAAATCGGCACTATATGCTCTAAATGACAAAACTCACAATCACACTGTCTAGATCTGTCATTTTGAATGCATAATTATTGTCCAACAAAGGCCTAGAACATTCTACACACTATGAGATATTATGATGTAATAATACTCAATTAAAACTGAGAAAAACTCAGGAGGTTCTAGTAAAATGATGTAATAACATAACAAGCCAATTCATAACAATTGAACTACACAACATATGATTTGTTATATAAACTGTGGGTAACAAATGTCTAGAAAAGTGGTATCTTATGTATGAGTCACTTTCATGTATTAAACCTTCTCCATAACTAAACAGTAAGATGTTAGCCATGATGAAATACCATTACAATCTTTTTGAAGTTCAATATAGCTTACTTTTTACATGTTTTCAATATAAATGCAAGCAAGATTTTGAATTTTAATAAATAGCCTATTGTTGAAAATCTAATCTTAAAAAACAAGCTTTACCTCATTCTGGCCATCAGACAAGGGTACATGAAAAGGGCTCTCTGGATTCATTTCATTTAAAACATTGCTTGCATCCCACAAGGAGCTACTATTATCGAAGTTATATGATCCAAAGTTGTCAGGTTTTTCTATCTTAAGATTCTTGTATGAAAATATTTTATCAAAGTCAAATGTCTGTTTTGTGTTATCTGAAAAAGCTGTATGAATACTTTTTACTGGGGAAGAATGCAAATACTGTCCTATATTAATTTTCAAATCATTTTCCAGATTTGTACTTGACACTTTATGAATTTCTGCTTCAATGTGTTTTTCACCAACTGTTAATGGGGATAACTGTACCTGTTCTGTTTTCATTCCAGAATTACCTCTTAAATTTACAATTAGTGTTTCCCAAACTGCTGCAATATTATGTTTTGCATCAACTACTGTTGTAGTAGTCTGTGTTTTATAACTGTGAGCCAGACTTTCAGTTGGAGGTGATTGCAGTTCTGTTTCCAATTCAGAATTACCTCTTAAACTTACATTTTGCATTTTCTTAACTTCTGTCACATTATATTTTTCATTAGCTACTGTTGTAGTTGCCTGTTTTCTATAGTTGTTAGCCAGACCTTCAGTTGGAGATGACTGCAGTTCCAACTTCACAGTTTGCTCTACTTGAGCTTTTGCTTCATTATCTTTTTCATCAACCCTCATCCGACAATTGCCATATATTTCATCACTTCTGAATTGAGCACATAAGGTATGCATATTAGTATTGTCTCGACCTTGACTATCCTGTCTGATTAAGTGATCAACAACTGCTTCTTGTAAGAGTTCAGGTACATTTGAATGCAAATCTGTTTCTGACATAAAAGTACGCATTTTGTAATCAACAATACTTTGATTTTCTGAAACTAAAAATGTCCTTAATATTCTCAACCCTGGTTTATCATTAGCTATCTCTAGAGCTGCAATTTTGCTAAATATTGAAAAAGAATAATATCCAGTTATTTTCTCTGTGAGTGCTCGTACAGACTCTGTTTTATTTAAACTCATTCTCACTAGTTTCATTGTTTTAGTTTCTGCTGGATTAGTGGCTACAATTTCAGTTCTGACAACTGTTTCTTTACCAACTATAGGTCTAATATCAGCTTTAATGTTTTTGGTTAGGGTTTCATCATTACCTTTCTGAGAATTAATTTCAACTGGGTCAAAAATTTCTTTATTGACATTTTTCCCTTTTGAAAGACTCAAACTTTCTTGAAAACTCACCAAACTTTTATTGTCTAATGCTAGGTTCTTAAGATTGACTGAAATATTCTCCCTACTGTTTTCCTCATTATGTTTCTGTCCATTCTTTAGAGTTTTATTACTTAATTCACTCTCTCTACTATATTTAATAATCATCTCTGGTAGAGTAAATTCTTTCTTTCTTGTCACTTCTAGCACATCCATTTGCTGTGGATTTTCAGCTTCAGATGGTATCTCACTATTATTTTCTATATATACTTGAAAAAATTCTCCTTTTTCATGAGCATTGTGACATTTTCTTGCTATATGATTGTTTTCTTCAGTCTTCAAAAGTAATATTTTGGTAATTTCTTGTTCACTAAGAGAGATATGTCTGTCACTTTTCTCAGAACCTACTGGAATGCTGTATAATTGATTTGATGATGACTTTTGTTCTAGCTCTTGCTGATTCTGTAGACTTTCTTCATTAGCTGCTTTAAGCTTTTTCTTTTCTTTCATTCTCAACCAAGTAATAGTTGCAATAGTAATAGTTGCAGAGATGGCACAGAGGGCAATGGTTCTTGTGGATAACCCTGCCATTTGACTTGGTTTCTTTATTCAAAACTTCTGTTTTGTCTTAGTTCATCAAAGCCTAAAAATATAGTAACAAAAAATAATGTACACTATTACAATACTTTTAACAAATTTTATAAAAATCTATACTAACAACTACAACAAATATAGCTACAGTAGATCTTGACAGCTACATATATTTCAAATAAAACTAGAATATATGCCAAAAAATTCACAAACACTTACTATACACAGTTGCTTTTGATGGTGTAAATATTTTGGAAAGAAACACCACTATAACAAAATTCTTTTGGTTGGGAGAACTTAAGTGATATCCATATAATTTTTTGTTGATTTTGGCCTACTAGAATAAACTGAAATTAAGAGGAGCTACAGCACAGTTCTATATTGCAGTGAAGATTTCAGACATCCCAAACAGTTACATTAAATATAGGGTGACCAGTTTGTTTGTTTGTTTTTTAATTTCGCGCAAAGCTACACGAGGGCTATCTGCGCTAGCCGTCCCTAATTTAGCAGTGTAGGACTAGAGGGAAGGCAGCTAGTCATCACCACCCATCGCCAACTTTTGGGCTACTCTTTTACCAACGAATAGTGTTGTGAACAACAAAGGCCAAATTCCAGTAAGTGATGCTGCATCTGTTGATTTGCACATCATGGCACTTAAGTCAATTACAATACCCCCCTATGTCAGGGAAGATAATTTGGCGTAGAATAAAAGAAAGGAAGCCTGACGCTTGTGGAAGCAGTAGAAGACCCACCCAGGCCAGCATATGTCTAGATTGGAAGGTCACTTGTGGCAGGTCATCAAGTAGTACCCATAACAGTGACTATTTTCTCTAATTGTGAGCAGACACTTAAGGAAGGGGCATTGTTGGGTGTGTGCCAGGAGGTTGAGCTAGTCAATGTTAAGGCAAGAAATACAACCATAAAGAAAGGACATCCTTTCCCAGAACATTTAACTGACCTCTATAAGAAGAGCATAGCCTATTTGTCGTCATCACAGGCTCTTCAGGTTAGAGAACATCTTTTTGAAAGGAGATCATGACCTAGGCTGCCCAGAATAAACACAGGCAATCACCATCCAAGAAAGATCCCTCTGAGAAGAATAGCACCGGCAAAGTGACAAGAGATGGAGAAGGTCATGGATGGCCTAATTATAGAAGGGATAGACGAGAAATCAGATAGTTCCTGGTCAGCTCCCGTCGTGTTAGTCCAGAAGAAGGATGGGACCCAACATTGCTGTGTGGAAATCAGGGCTCTTAACAGTATAACTGAAAAGGATTCATACCCACTGCCAAGAATTGATGATACTCTTGATGCTCTAAGTGGAGGCAGGTGGTTTTCAACTCTAGACTTAAAAGTCGGGTTTCCATCAAGTGAAAATGGCTGAAGCAGATAAACTTAAGACTGCATTTAGTTATAGCCAGGGTCTCTGGCAATATTGTGTGATGCCATTCGGGCTTAGCAATGCTCCAGGAACATTTGAGAGGCTAATGGAAAGAGTACTGGAAGGCCTACAATGGAGGATACCCCTAGTGTTACCTGGATGATGTCATTGTATTTGCAACAATATTTGATGAAGAAATGTCCTGGCTAGAGGAAGTATTCAAGCGTTTGAAAGCAGCAAACCTCAAACTCCATCCCAAGAAATACCACTCATTCCAGTGTAAGTGAGCATGGTGTGCAAACTGATCCTGACAAGGTGAAATCAGTGCATGATTGGCCAACACCAGACAATGTGGGAGAGTTAAGAAGTTTCTCGGAACTCTGTACCTATTACCGGAAGTTTGTGAAGGACTTTGCAACTGTAACAGCTCCACTACATGATTTGACCAAAAAAGGCCAGAAGTTCGAATGGACAGTTTCTTGCCAGCATGCTTTCAAGACATTGAAAGACAAATTGGCCACAGCTCCAATTTTAAGCTTCCAAATTCCTCACTGCCATACATACTGGCTTGTGATGGTA